CCTTGCCCCCTCGAACGAATCGTGGCTGTGACCGTTGGTGTGATCGCCGGCCGGTCCGCCAACCGGCCAACCGGGCGGTGTTGAACCTGAACAAATGCCCTCTTCCCCCAAACCGGCATGTGGCAGGGGGCACAATTCTTCAACGACAAGGTGCGTACGTACGTACGTAGGGAATCGTACTTTTTTCTACAACCAGTATTGCGCACACCGTCGGGAGGTATTTTTTCATTTCTTCCACCGGTAAGGGCCTGGGATAGAGCAGCAATGAACTCATGGCGTTTTATGATGACCAAATTGTATTCCTACGGTTCCGCGAGCAGCAAATAGCGATATCTCTCCTGTGGGTAACAGGCTCGACAGGACAGAAAGGGGGCTTTTTATTTCGTATGCCGAGTGTTTTGGACAACACTCTCGTTCTTGTTTTTATCAAGACGTTGGTGACAATTGCACCGCTGTTTCCTCCCTCCCCCCATCGACGCCAATCTGCCGGCAGCTGTGCGACATTTGCCTGGCCTGGTTGGGCGACAACGTGTTCAGCATTAGGGTAGCGGCCACGGACAACCTCAAAAGACTCACAGATCACTTCGGGACGCAGTGGGCGCGAGATCACATCTTGCCGAAGGTGACCTGCGTACCACGTCCAACCAGCAACCGCATGTGTTCTTTCGTTGTTTTTCTGCCAAAACTGCACTGTCTGCGTGTGACAGAGAGGATTTCTTCCCGAGCTGTCCCTTCCTATTTTGCGCGATTGAATGAAGCGGGATCGTATATCCTGAGATATGCATCGCTTCCCTTGCCTACAAGCACGGGTCCCGCCGGCGGCAGTTCGTTTTTGCGTTTGACCAACTATCGTTCTGCTGCGTTCGGTGTCGGCCTCTGCATGGACCAAATACACTATCCCGAGCAGGTGGTACAGATGCACATCCACAGCAGCTACCTTCATCGCATGACGGCCCTGTACGCGATACAAGTCCTCACTGAATCGCTCGACGTCGAGATGCTCAGCAAGGTGTGTATGATGAATTTTTTATGTCGGGATGGCTTCACCCCCCGTTCGGTTATTCTCTCGAGTCTTGCGTGAACTTCCAGTGGGTATAGTCGGGCAGGTAATATTTTAAAGCAAAGTGAGACATTTCTGAGGGACAGCGCATGATCCGATTTGTGGCCCATCTCCGACGGCTGTTTCGTTGTGCTGGAATGATCTTGCACACCGACAAGATCGGGGAGTGCGTGTGTGCTCCCCTCAATCTGCGTTGATATACCCTAAGATGAACCGAGAGCGGTAAGAACGGTACCTTTGTGGACAGGACGACCTGGCGCAGCAAGGGAAACACGAAGCAAAGGATATTAGCAAGGGTACGCGTGACGCCACGGAATTTTGGGTCTCGTTGACGTGATTCAGGCAGGACATTGCCAGGAGACAACGATACAACCGGGTGTAGATGGCGCCATGGGCAAAGGACTAAGCGAAACGAGCAGGTGGTGATGTTCCTGAAGAATGGACTCGAACTTGCTAGGAAGGAGGAATGTGTTGCAGAAGCTCAGAGCCAGACACATGCAGCACCATTCATAACGATCCATAATCCGTATACGATGGACGCAATATTATTCACACGGCCTCGTTTGATGACATGATCACATGTACACGAGACGAAAACCCAGGGGGGTCATCGCTGTATTTGGTGGCACAAAGCCAGTGTGTGCGTAAGCCAGGGTAGGAAATGAGCTAAGCACGAGGTAGCGGTATGGCATACGGCAGGAACAAGATCGGCCGGCTGTTGGCGGTGTCGCTATCACTCCGTCTCTTAAGTGTGCGGACTCAATGGCCGAACGAATATTTAGAGAAGACAGGCGGCAGTCGATAAAGGTCTTCTCTCCCCCTTCTTACCTCACCTGGCACACCCCCTGCCATTTTTTTTAATCCTTTTTGGCGGATAAATTACGGTGGGGGTCCCTGTTTAGTGCCGGTATTTGCCCAGAAAGTTCACCGGCATTTTTACCAGACCGGCAATGTTTGAAGTACTGACGTTGACTTCAACATTCAGTGTATGCCCGCCGAAAAACATCGGTACTATACTCGGTATTGCACTATTCAACCGGCACCAAACGGGGACCCCTTCCACTCCCTTCCGTCCCTGATCGCTGCTGTTCTGAACGGTGAAATCAGGAGGTGCTCCCGCTGGTGCTGCGAATGGCCTCAGACCCCGTGCCAAACATTCGCTTCAATGTGTCCAAGACGCTCGAGAAGATGGCTCCGCGTCTCGAGGTATGTCGATGCATTTGTACGCAGGAGGCTACACAAAAATGTCATCATGTTGCGTACTTGTTTGTCTGCAGCCGGTGCTCTCCTCTACTTTGTAGCACTATCTCGCCAATTAACCCCACACCGGACGCGCTTTTGTCATTGGTTGATGACTTGCTTTTTGCTCGACTGGCCGTTGCTGCTGTTGCCCCCCTCGCGAGCAGAATGACGCCGTAGAGGCCCAGGTGAGACCAGCGCTGGACAGCCTGGTGGACGACTCGGACCGCGACGTACGGTACTTTACTAGAAAAGCCATGCAGGCGGTGTCGGCGATGGGGTGATTATGGACGAGAGCGCGGTATTGGTGAGGTGACGGGGGGCTGTCCACCTCTGTTTAGTCTCTGGTGTTTCCTCAGTGACACAAGGTAGTTTTTCGAGGCTTTTATTTATCTTTCGTTTTTCTCATTTTCAGGCCCGCCAAGGCTCCGATGACTCTCGCGGCCGCTTGTCAGTCGTCGTTGCGGCTGACGGTCACTCGCTGACTCTTGCGTTTCGTCCACGGCCTACTTGTCGGAACCATCTCTTCCTTGACATCGTTCAAACGGGGGGAGGACGTTGACATGACGCAGTAATGGCTTGGAAGGTGGCGATGCTCGTAGTTGACGAGGGCTGTACTCTCGATGGATGCCGTTTTTTTTGGCTTGAAGCACCTTAGTCACGCTCGGTTGGGTTGTCACCATCAGCCGCACATGCCGTCTCTGAAAGGTTTAAGCCGCAAGCGACACGGTACCTGGTTTCGCAAAAATACTTCCGGCCAGTTGTTTCCCCCTCGTCGAAGCTCGCGCTGATGACTTCAAGCGGGTCCCAATGACAGCGACAGCATTATCGTCGGCCTCTTGTGTTGGGCTTAGGGTTGCGTCGCTGTACTCCGATTAACCGAAACACAAATCACCCACGTCTCTGTGCGCTTTTTGGCTGCAGTAAGTCATGTTGAAAGTGGTGGGGCGATAGTACGCACATGGGTGAAACGGTGTCCGGCCCGTAGTGCAGTACTGCTGTGCACATGCAGTCGATCATGAGTGGGCTGTCTTCCGTTTTTAAGCCCGTTCGGCGGCTTCAAAGTTTTAAGCAAGGCCAAACAGGTCTTCCGTGTTGGCTGCTCACATGCTGCGACGGAGGTGTGTGGGATGATGCCCTTTGGACGAGCCTGGCTTGAGTGCATGCTTGGGGGTCGGTTCGATCAGGTCGATGGGAATTCTTTCTAGAGCCTTAGCCCGCAGTAATTTTGAGATGGCGAGCGCCGAAGTTGTACGTGCGAGGGCCTCTGTGGCGCAACCCAACGAAGAAGGGTCAGCTACACCTCGTCAAGGCATTATGAGTACATTGTGTACGATCTAGCAACAGTCCGCAATATGGCGGGAAGCCGTAAGTTTGGCGGGAAGCACGCAGGGTACCCGGGGGTGGTTCAGTTGGTAACCTCTAGCGTCCTCCTGGCTGTCGAGAGCATGGGTTCGAATGTCTGGAGTGAACATCTTCTCACAGCGGAGTTTCAAACTACACAGTCTAAAGTGTGCCCAAGAGGGGGAAGGAACCGCTGAATGAACTTTTTTTCGCGTTAGAAACTGAAGGACATGTTCCGCTGAGATGATCGAATGATGCAGCTTTGGCAACTTTCAAGGTTTCTTTTTCCAGTACATGAGGACGGAAGCACCGAGACATTTACGAGAACCAGCGTGACCAGGGCTTGCCGCACATGTGCGCAGAATCGCATGAGGGAGTTCACGGGCGGTAGGGCATGCTTGTGTGTGTCGCGATTACCCTTCATGTTGAACGATTGAAAACCACAACCTTTTTGTCTCTTCGGGTAACATTCACAACCAAACAACCTTCCGGCACACCCTTTTGAGGGCCAGGATTCCGCTTTGCTGCACACGCATCGGCGTTCACGTTACTACATATGCTTGCCTCTGGGGGCCGAAATCGCGACGGGTCGGTCCCCCGCCCGTTTCACACAGCGGTGTCCGGATTATTTCAGTCAAAATCCGGTCCAGATAAGACGTGCAAAAGGCCGCCCTCTACCAAAATCAAAAACACGAGGAGGGTTAAAACACGGTCTAAAAAAGTTGCCCCCCACAAGCGCCCCCAAAATCGTCAAGCCATTTAATTGTTGCAGCTACAGACACGGGGAATTCGTAGGGGCTTTTGAAGGAGTTCTTGGGTGGTGGGTGTTGGAACACAAAATGTATTTACAGTAGCGGTCCGGAACAATGCCGGTCGCCCGGTGTACTGAGGTGAAATCGTCTGGCACAGATGGGATATTCAACTTGTCCCACATTCGCCCCAGTGGCCTAGTGGTATCCTCGTAATCCGCTAGTAGCAGAGGTCGTGATCGTGAGTTCGAATCCCCATGGGGTGAAAAATCTACGAAATGTGCGGGTGAAAGCGAAATATAGCTGACAAGCTCTCGTAAGCACCAAACGTCGACGTTAGAACCGGTGACGAGGGAAAGGGACGGCTGGACCCTTCTCGCGATAAAAATAAAATTCAGCATGCACCGCAGGAGGAAGGAGGGGCATGAAAATACATTAAAGAAGAAAAAAGCCCTGGTGTTTACCCCGTGTGTGACCCTGGATGGTTGTAGTTACACGAAAAAATACGCTGAAAAGTGTAGTACTCGACATACGCCGACATACGCTGAAAAGTGTAGTACACGTCTCACCACGAAAAATGGGGCGACTGTCGCCATAATAAATAGGACGAAAACACACACACACACTCTAAAAAATGCCGGTTTCCCGCTGTAATGACGGTGAGATCGGCTGTATAGCATCCGGCACTGACCGGGACCCTCAGAGTAATGCGGTGCGCTTGTTGGTTGGCCGTGCACGGTGCAAGAGTTGGGGAACACCACAAAATCACGTTTGGGGACCTCCCCTGGACGCAGTGAATATTCTACCGATATTAAGCATACCCGCTCAGGGTACCTGCTTCCTTCGCGGTGCATGTAGCTGGCGTAAATCGCGACGGAGTGCACGCTCGACAAACTCAAAAATAGAGTGCTTTCTGGCATTGATGAGGCGGGCAAACTTCACTCCTCTACACAAGAATTACCGACAGCACAACTGGCACACCCCGCTTGTATCCCAGACAAAACTGTTGCAAGCGGTGCGCAGTGCGCAGCAGTTGCATACGAAAACGCAACTTGACTGCATGGGCTATTCAATGGTTCAAGAAAAGCGGCAGCAGCAGCAGCATGTTGATGATCCAACGATACGCCAACAAGACCAAGAGCTTAACGACAACAGACCCACCGTCCTCGACACGCCGCTAGCCCCTAGAGCTACACCACAGGCCATGCTACGCACCAACGCACATCTGCCGAGCGTCATAACCCGACCCAATGCTAAACTGATGCAACACGCCCCACCCAACATTCACTTATTTCCAGCCTGCCAAAAAATTCCTGATTGAGCATCAGACAAAAACACAAACAAATTTGTAGCCGCTCAGGGTGGGCGCCGGGACTTTCCCCGCTAACCCCATCGATACTTACATAGACTATGCGTATTTACAAACAATATTAGATGAGAAGATATATTCGTCCACAACCCTTTGTCAATGCGAGCGTCCATCGGCAGAAATTTCGACCACTGTGGACGCCCCTTGAAACAAGGCCACCAACAAGAAGAAAAACGCGTTGTGACCACAACCAACCGCAACTACCGGTACGTTTCAAGCCGTAAACGGCTGCCAGAAACAAAATAGAGGTGCACACACTGAGGTGCCAAAGACAAAACTCAGCACCCATCAGATTGAGGATTTATGATTATTTCACAGCAATAACAAAGACAACGACCGAAACACCACCAGCGAGAAAACCACAAACGACGCCTCCACGGAGCAACGTAGGCGTACCGCAGAGGTTTACCGCACGCCGCCAGGTTGGCTCGGGAAGTGCACACCACCCGGCCCGACGTTGTCGTCAGAGTGGTATACGTGCTGCTCTTGCCGGTTCTGGTCGGCGGCGCTCAATCCCTGCAGCATCTGCGGCAGAAATTCCTTCATCCTGCGAGGGGCACGGATGAGAGGGTCGACTGATGAGATCCTGTCGAAAACAATTGTCCGCAATGGACTCTGCGCGAGTAACCGACGAACCGGGAGATGTTTCGCCGTCACACCTGTCACCATGCACTGCTGTGAACGGAAGTTGTGAGGGGCGTACATCGTAGGGCTTTCATTCGGGCGCAATCGCCACGGGTCTGTCGTGAAGCGCGACAGACGCCTCTCCCGCCATGAGACCCACTCGCGCGAGTGCTGAGAGGAGGGCACGACATGCCCACGATTTAGCTATTTCTGACGCATCCTGCATTCCACATTTTATCCATGCATCCAGTACAAAAACGACACGAACGGACCGGCTGGCAGGACCGGCCTATGCGGAAATCATGAAAAAATAGGCATCCCTACCGCTGACAACGAAGAAATGAGAAAATACAGAAGGGGGCCAGGAAATCCCTTTCGGTGTGGCGCACAAGCGGTGGGTGACATTCTTCAGCACCCTGTTGTTGTTGTTGTGTTGTTGTTGTCTTCACATTAAAAACCATCCCGGTCTCTCTATCCAGTACCTCCTTCTGTCTCAATCTCTCCGTACTAATCCATCACTTGACTCGGCCAATTTCCGTGGTCACAGGCTAACGTACCTAGAAAAGGTATACCAAAATAAAATGGACCCCAAGGGTCAGCAGAGCGATAAAATACAAGAAAACAA